TAGCAGTGGACTGCTCCTCTGCTGACAGGGCCTGGGCTAGGATCTGGTGGAGAGGGAGGACTCTGGTTCCCTTACTTCCCTCCTAACCTACCCTACACCCAGAGCTGGCCCAAGCTACGGGCTACCACCCGGGGAGCCCCATTGTAGGGGGCGCTGCTGGATTAGGCGGGGCCACGCATGCACTGGTGCCCCGGGGCGCATGAATGACTCGAGCCGGCCCTGCCTACACCTATTCTGCTGTTGGCTACTAGGCCGAACTACCCTGAGCACAGGTGGAATAGTATGGACACTGGCCACTAGGCCACACTACCCCCAAATACAGGGGGAATTTATGTGGATTCTTTGGTCACCAGGCAATGCTACCCTCAACACAGGAGGAAGTATATAGACTCTGTGGCTGTTTAGGCCACACTGAGCTCCGACTATTTTTGGAAGCGCTATATAGCCACTGTGGTGGTATAGTTACTGTCAACTTTTAATCCATGGTTCTGGATGACTTTGGGAGAATAGTAACTTAAAACCACACTGTTGTAAGCAAGGCTGTGTCTAGACTACACCCCTCTGTTGGCAGAGGGATGTAAATTAGATGTTTTGAAAGCACAAATGAAGCAAGGATTTAAATATCCTGCGCTTCATTTGCATAATCACGTCATGGCGCTATTTCAAACAAGCGCCATTTTGAAAGTCAAACTGCCGTCTAGACGCGGTTCTTTAAAAAATGGGCGCTTTTTCGAAAGCTTCTGTACCACAGATTTACTTTCAAAATGGCACTTGTTCAAAAGAGCTCCATGACGCAATTATGCAAATGAGGACTGGATATTGAAATCCCTACTTCAATTTGCGCTTTTGAAACATCTAGTTTACATCTCTCTGCATACAGAGGGGTGTAGTCTAGACATAGCCCAAGATTGGCATAATGCAGAGTGTTGAGACATCCATTATTCGATCCAAAAAAGAAAAAAAAAAAATCTAGCGCTTATTGTAGCAACCGGTGCAAATTTTGTAAGCACATCCTCCACTCCATTATCCAAGTAGTTATTGAAATTGAGTAGTGTCAGACCTAGCACGGACCCCTGCAGGGCCCCACTGGATTCACCCTTCCCATTTGACACACAACCATTAATAAGTAGGACCTTTCAATTGCTTGCGTGTCTACCTTATTGTAATTTCATCTACCGCATTTCCTGTCTTATAAGATTCCATCAAAAGCCTCACTAAAAACAGTGATCTTTCATATCTATCGCTCCCCCCACACCCTATCCACTAGGCCACCAATCTTATCAAACAAGGAAATTAGGTTTGGTGGTATTTGTTCTTGACATCCATGCTGGCTATTCCTTAAAATCGTATTCTCCTCTAGGAGCTTACAAATCAATCGTTTAATTATTTGTTCCACTATCCTTCCAGCTATTGCAGTTAAGCTTGCTAGTCTAATGCCCCTGATTCTCTTCACTCTAGTTCAAGGATAAGGAACTAGACAAAATACTGGTATCACTGAAGTACCTAGGATGAGTTTCATCAGGCACGCCAATTGGAATACCGCTAACTTATCAAAATAGCCTTCAACCTGTTTTCCTGATTTTTGGCTTGTGTTCCTTCCCCTTTGTTGTTAATATTAGTCATGTAGAGCATCTCATCACCATTAATCATCTTAGTGAACACAAACACAAAATAGGCATTAGACTTCTCAGCCTTATTAGTCACCAGTTAACTCTCCTCTCACTAAATAGACCTAGTTTCCTTTCTCTTAATATATTTATAGAACCTCTTGCCTTGTGTCCTTTGCTAGGTGGAAAACATTTTGTTATGTAGGGACAAAAATCCAGAGAGGCTACATGCTTGTGCTATTCTTTTTACTCCTCTGGAACAATTTGTCTACATAACTTAATGAGTCCTGATGGAGCCTTATTGCTTCTCTTTTTCCAATGCCCCTTCACATCCCAGGAGAGAAATCAAAACTCTGAAGTGACTTTGTTAAAGGGGCACTAGCAGGATTTTCAAGTCCAGAATGTGTGTTTGGTAAGGAAAAGCCTCTAGCAAGCTCTATATCTATTCTTAACTCTGCCACAGATCCTCTGAGACACCTTGAGCAAGTCATATAGTCTCTCGGGTCTCCCTTCCCCCACCTGTGAAATGAAGATAATGCACTCCCTTTGTCTATTCAGACTCTCTCCTTTTTGAAGGCAAGGATCATTTCTCGCTAAGTGTATAACCTCGCTCAGCACTTTTGTAAAACTGCTAAGCTCATCACAACCCAACTAGGTTTCAACCTCTTACCCCTTCTAAAAAGGAACAAAAATTAGTCTCTTTCCTCTTCTTAGTGGTTCCTCTATGGCTTTATTAGTTGTCACACATACAAAATGGGAATGGATGGTCTAAGACAGGGGTAGGGAACCTCAGGCCCAAGGGCCACATGTGGACCCTAGCTTGCCTGGATCCAGCCCCCGAAGCTCAACATTAGGGAGCCCACACTGGAGCGCCAGCCACCAACCCATAGGGCTGGAGCACACAAATCTACTGTTTATTTAAAACAAATGAAGTTCTTCACACAGCGCATAGTCAATCTGTGGAACTCCTTGCCTGAGGAGGTTGTGAAGGCTAGAACTATAACAGGTTTAAAAGAGAACTAGATGAATTCATGGAGGTTAAGTCCGTAAATGGCTATTTGCCGGTATGGGTCAGGAATGGCGTCCCTTGCTTCTGTTTGTCAGAAGGTGGAGATGGATGGCAGGAGGGAGATTGGTTCACTCCCTCTGGGACACCTGGCATTGGCCACTGTCAGCAGACAGGATACTGGGCTGGACGGACCTTTGGTCTGATCCCGTATGGCCATTCTTATGTTAGCTGCCGCCCTGCCCAGGCTCTGGTGTGAAAGGGGAATATGGGGCGTGTCTCTCCTCAGTCAGGGGCTTCTCACTTGTATGCAGCCCACGACTGATTTTTCTGTGGGTCAGCAGCTCTGACCCAAGAAAGGTTCCCCACCCCCGTCTAGGAAGATATACTGCAGAAAGCGAGCTAGGGATCATAGTGTGACTGACTCGTATTTAGCATATGGTGCACTGACACCCAAAAAAATCATTCTAGGATGGATTGAGAAGTGTTGTAAACAAGACACAAGGAGTAATTCTTCTGCTCTACTCGGATTAGATCTCAACGGGAGAACTGTCCCCTCTTCTGGGCACCACATTTCAGGAAATAGGTGGACAAAATGAAGAAGTCCAGAGAAGAGCAACACAAATGATTTAGTGTCTAGAAAACATGATCTAAGAGGGAAGACTGAAAGAATTGGGCTTGTTTAGTTTAGAAAAGATTTCAAAGGTTATTACAAGGAAGGAGAGAGAAAAATTAACCTCCGAGGAAAGGGCAAAAGATAATGAACGTAAGTTGCAGCAAGGGAGGTTTAGGTTGGACATTACGGAAAAGTTCTCAACTGCCAGGGTGGTAAAACACTGGGATAAGTTGCCTAGGGAGGTTGTGGAATCTCCATCACTGGAGATATTTAAGAGCCGGTTAGACAGACAGCTGTTAGGGATAGTCTAGACCAGGAATGGGGAACCTAAGGCCTGGGGGCCAGATGCAGCCCTTGGCTTGCCTGGATTTGGCCTCTGAGGCTTTGGGCTCCCCCTCAGCACTGAGGAGCCCATGCTGGCATTGTAGACCCTCCCCCCCCCAAAAAACCTGCCATTTCCCCATGGGGTTGGAGCAAAAAAAACTGCTATTTCCCCATGGGGCTGGAGCACTCAAAAATCTACAACCCTGGGCCTGCCTAGGCTCTGGTGTGCAAGGAGAACATGGGGAGTGTCTCCTCCTCAGTTGGGGGCCATGTCAGTGAAGACACTGTGTTGTGTTTGTCACTTGTGTGTGGCCCCTGACGGATTTTTTGTTTGTCACTTTTGTGCGGCCCCTGACTGATTTTAACGTGGGTCAGCAGCCCCTGACTCAAGCCTCCCGACCCTTTGTCTAGACTGTTGGAGGGGTGCCGCAGAGAAAAAAAGAGTTCAAAGGGGCCGGCAATTTTTTTTTGGCTCAATAACTTTTCCCCAGGACTTTTTTTTTTTTTGGCTCAACAAAAAACCCTTGGTGTTCCTCATAAGAAAGACTGGTGTTCCTCAGTCTTAAGTTTAAGAAACACCGGTCTAGACGGTGCTTGATCCTGCCACAAGTGCAGGGAACTGGACTTGATGACCTCTCGAGGTCCCTTCCAGTTCTAGGATTCTACTGTACTAAGTGGCAAAGCTAGAGTACAGATGGAAGGAGGCACTATATAGGTTTAAAATGGTCAGACAAGTCCTATGGAGGAATTAAACTTTTGCTCATACACCTGATTACTCATCAAGCCACAAGGTAGCATGTGTGGATTAGCAGAGGACCCAAAGCACAGCTGAGGGCCATTAATGATGCAGGCAATGCCCTAAGCCAATATAGCTTTTTTTTAATGCTTCCAGGCAGATAAAAAGCTCCAGGAAGCCAAGAGATCAGACTCTTTACCAGGATAAACAACAGCTGAGAAATAGCTAGAGCTCCAGCCACACAGGGATTGCCATCTGCATAGACTAGGTTGCAAGTCTTCAACCCAATTTTCTGGCCCTAGTGCTAGCCTAGTTACCAATCATTTTTAGTAGCTTGCAGCAAACCCGCCTTTACATCATTCTTTGGTCTAGCTGTTAGAGTTCAGGGGATTTTCATCTGGCTCCTGCCTGGAGACCTTTGGGAATTTTTTGGCTTTTTGAGCTCCTGAGAGAAGCCAGGTGCCCGTGTTACAGGCGGCCTTCCTATTGCCAACAGCCGCAATCCTGTCAATTCCTGGTGTTGCTACCCTGCAGGGTCTGCTGACAACCCTTCTCCCTGCTGTGCTCTCGTGGCTGAACGGGAAAGACGAGCAGCCGGCTGCTGCCTGAGCACCTCTTGCAGAATTTGTGCTGCTGCAGGAGGAAACTGGTTTCAAGGAGGCATTTGCAAAACGTAAGTGTTGCCGGATTGTGCAGTAACCGTCTACTCACCGCCCCTGCGCTGGTTCTTGATTTTGTAGTAGAGGTAGAGAGATAACATGACCAGGTCCGCCAGCACGTAGTAAATGGCAGTGTAAACCTGCAGGAGGAAAGGGACCCAGTGATACAGGAGAACCAGGAACAGGTTAACTCTTCTGGGGGTCCATAGCTAGGACACTTGTGGAATCCCTCCCCCCAAGGCTCCAGAGTGGGGCTACCCTAAGCTCCAGTGGGGGTTCAGTGTGTGGGAGGGGGCTGCAAGGAGCAGGCTGGGGGTGCAGGGTCCGGGCAGGCGTGGGCAAGGGATTGGAATGCTTTCCATTTGGCGTGGGGGTTGGAGAACAGGTGGCTCCATGCTGCTCTGTGCTTGCAGGCCCTGCCCCTCCACGGCTCCTAGGTGGTCGCCTAGGGCGCCAAGTTCAATGGGGCTCCAAATGGTGGTGCACTATCGTTCCGGGGTTTGGAGGTGGGGGCGCCGATTGCATGGTTCGCCTAAGGCGCCAGTTGCTGGCAGCTAGTCTAGGGCTGCCCCTGGGCAGGGGAAACGCCTTACAGGGAGCCCAGGGTCAGAGCTTCCCTGCACTCACAGCCAGGAGGTTTCACCCCGGGGGGAGGAAGGGAGAGAATGGCAAAATGCAGAGCTGCCTCCTGCCCCTCCCCATACACACTAGGGAGAGCTGGCCAGGAAATGCAGCATGCAGGGGTTTTAGTGGCTGCTTCTGAGGGCCCTCTGCTAAGAGGGGCCCCTCATCCCAGGGCTGTTTCCCCTAAAGCCCCTTTCATAATGCAGACCTAGGGAGAGCTGCCTCCCTCACGTCACCCAGACTCTCCTCAGCCGAGCAGCTTGCTCTGGCTGACTGCACAGCCCAGAAGGATCTCTGGATCCAGCCACAGGCACTGCACACCGGCCCTTGCAGTCCCCACAGGTCACAGACCATCAGGGAGACTAACGTGATAGTTCTAATCCCAGCCTCTGACCAAGCACTTGGCAGCAGCAGATCTCAAGCCACTTCATAAAGAGGTCAGTACAATTACTACCCCAGCGGTCAAATGGGGATAACGTAGAAGCCTGGGGCTGCACGTTGGGGGCCCTGCCCTAACGGGAAGAGAGGCCCTACCATGGATAGTCACTAACTAGCCTCACCCCCTGCAAGAAAGCGAATCAGAGAGAGAGACAGACAGACATGGACTGCATGACAGACAGCTCTTGGACCTACCAGCACACAGCCGGGCACGACCAAGGTGGGATGGAGCAGCTCTGGGCTGGGGACCTGACTCTTCCAGGAATCTCTAGCCTTGGGACCAGACTCCCCCATGGTAGGGTCACCAATTGGGGGCGGGGGGCAGCAATGTCGCAGCACTTGAACCTTGGCCATGCACTGGACAATACCAGCAGCTGCACCAGCCCACTTTCGCCTCTGGGTCCTACAGAGCAAACCCTCCTTCCCTCAGGTCTCAACCAGGCCCTAGACAACCTCCAGCAACTTCAGGGCTTCTCTTTGGGGCAGCGCATCCTTCAGAGAGCCCCTAGGGAGAACCAGCAACACTCCTTGCCCATGTGCTTAAGAAATGAATTTGAAAGTTAAGTCAGCTGGTCTTAGCTGCCTAGGATCCTGGCAGAGCTTAGACCCAGAGTCCTAGGCCACACACCAATGGAGGCTAATCTCCATCAATCAGAAAGTGACAGCGAGAAGGGTCCGATGCCAAACCCCAGAGCCAGACACCCCTGCATGCTGGACACTTTTGGCTCCAGATCCCAACTATGTTACAACAACAAGCCAACCTTGCCCTATTACAGTTGTAGAACAGGAAGCAAAATCAAGGTCACTCTTATTAAGTGTCCTAACTCCACTTGCCCCCTCCCCCTGCACATGCACCAAGCACTGGCTAGGGAGTTGCCGTCCTACTACTGAACTAGGTTTTCTCCTCCCGGGTGCCCACACACCGAAACCAGACGACATCCTTGCTAGTCACTCAATCACATAGAAACACCTAAGTCGTTACCTGTAATGGCAACTGGTTGGCCAGGAAAGAGCCTATTAGATTTAAAGAGTCTCCTCCCAGCCATCCCAGCAGGAAGTATATGGAGAGAGCCTGGTCCATGTTACCGGTCTTGCAGGCCTGGTAATATTGGCTGTGGAAAGAAAAAGACAGTCAGCTCTACGCAATTCACTAGTGCACCAGGGAGCAGAGGTGGGGGGCTCCTTCCACATGGGACAGCCAATGGACTGGATGCTACTCTAGGTTTTTAAATGCTGCAAGGAGCACGAACTGGCAGCAGGCTAAGGGCTTATCCGCACGGGGAATTCACAGCACAGTAGCAGGGGCAGCTTTCTGGTAGAGCTCTGCTGGCAAGAAGGCTTTGGCCCGTGTGTCTTTAGGAGGCTGAAGAGCTGCAAGGAGAACAGTCAGTGGGTTCTCTCCCCTCACTGCCACAGTGATACAGCAAGAGTGCACAAGCCTGAACCCCCACAACCACTGGTGGTGCTAGTGCAGGATGAACCTTTACTCCAGCACCCTTGGGACCTGACTGGTGCTGGACCAGAGAATTCGCCGGACGACGGAGGTCGAGATTGTCTAGCAGCATCACCAACACGGCCACTGCTCACTGGGCTCTTGGGAGACATTTAGGGGTAAATTAGAGCTCAATAGCACAGAACAGAGAGCCAGGACTGGTGACTGTAAACAAACTTTATGGGACTGCATGAAACTTGGCCGCGCCCAGGATACGTGGACATCCAGGTAATGAAAATCGTGCCAGACCACAGATGTTGCTGGACCAAAGGTTCAGCCTGTACTGTTCATTCTCTCGTGCCCCAATCTGGACCGTGTCGAGGCTGTGGAAAGCTGGCTCTGCCCATCTTCCAACCCAAGGCATGTTGGCAAGGGAGCCAAAGCAGCATGAGGGTGCCACTGTTAATGAGAACTGGGAAGGGAAGTTAGGTATGGAGAGACTCTACTGACTTGTTCCAAGAGTTCACCTCCTGCAGCCCCCCAGTTTAACACCATCACCTTTGTGCTGTGGGAGATCCAAGGCTGAACCCCCCCGGCTGCCCCTTGCTCTTCCGTGGGCCACCATGGCTCTCCGAACTCAGTGCCACAGGTCACATTGGCAGAGCTGTGTGGGAGATGCCTGCACACCCCCTGCCTGCCCTGCGCATGGTGTTCTCCCCATCTCGCTTTGTAGAAGGAAATGGTACGGCTAGTGGTTCAAACAATGGCCTGGACGTTGGGATTCTGCTCCTCTTGGGTCTGCCGCCATTTTGTTGTAGGACCTTGCACAAGTCTCTGCTTGGCTTCCAAAGCTCTGGGGCCGATCCAGCTCCCAAGCCAGCACTTCGAGGAGACGGGTGCTGGCTATGCCTCCTTGGAGTCAGCACGTAATGGAGGGCAGGTTCACAGTACTTTACAGGAGGGGGAACTACAGAGGTGACCTTCTCCAAAAGCAGGCTGCACTGCGTTAGCCTGGGGAGGGATGAAGAGCCAGCAGTAGCTTGCTCAGGCCAACTCTGTCTGGAGGTTCACCCCCACAGAGAAGACTGTCCGGTGACAATCCCAGTCCCCTCCTTCCAGCATCAGACACAGGTGATCTACAGTTCAAGCCACCTGCTGCAACTCAGCTCTTGAGCCAGCCCCAAGGATGCACTGTTCCTATTGAGCGCTGGGGTGTAGGCAGACACCAGCTAAAGTCTCCTCTTGGCCTGTGGAGAACTACTTAGCCCAGAACTCTAAGTTCAGGCAACAACAAAGGGGGAGGGGGGGGAAGAGGGGAAAAGAGAGAGGGAAAAAAAAGAAAGGAACAGGCATGAAGGTCAAAGGGCCAAAACTGGGGAACCGAAAGGACACGGAGCAAAGTGCCCACCATCATGCTCATCCCCAAGGCTAGACACGAGGCCCGCGAGAGTCACAAGACTGCAAGCTACAGGACCAGGTCACCTCCGCTGGTGGCTGGGAAGCAGCCCCGCGCTGCAGCGGAGAAGTCGTTACCGGAGTTCCCACGGGAGAGCTGCCCAGCAACATGCAGGAGACAGGAGCATGGTTCCAGTCTTGTCTTCGGGAAACTGCAAGTCTGGCTGACACCATCTGCTGACTCGCCCCACTCCCCACGGGTTTGAGAGTTCATTTGGCAATGGAAACTGAAACAGGCATCGCAGAGCAAGGCTGCAAGAGGGTGGGAGCATGGGAAGCGGGTATAATAGGCCAGTGGGAGGCTCTTCCTTGGGCACTGGACCCCTGTTGCAGGGTTTGGGGCAAAGTTTCCTTGTTGTTAGAGCCCATGCAGTTCCAGGGCGACTGAGGCGGCGATATTAGCCGTTCCGTTTCCTGGGTTCATCAGTAGCCCCATGGACTGGAGGGAGGTGGCCCAGCAGGCTGAGTAGAAAACACCACGGCCTCAGACACCCTGGCACCTGGCTGGAGCATAGCAAAAGCGTCACTTTCCCCTAGGGTGGTTTGGGGTCCTCTGGGCAGGTGAGGGAAGGGATATAATCTAGGTTTTGGCCAACCTGGGGCACCTCCAGGCGAGGGGTGTGTGCAAGGGGCTGCTGCAGCAGAGGGTGGGAGGCAGTGGGCCTGGGGGCTCCAGCCAGAAGGGAGGGAGGTGGAAGGGGGAGGAATCAAGGACTAAGAGCCCCAAAAGGGGGCCTCCACCTGTGGGTGGGAGGTAAAGAAATCACAGGACACAAGACAGGTTTTCAGGCCTACCATTGAAAACAGCCTGTGCCCCTCCCTCAAATCTACCCAGAACGAAACTCAACTCCAATGCAGCAAGGACTTCCCCTCCCCTCGGCAGCCCCAGGTGTGAAGCAGCCTTACTGGTCCCCTCCCCCGCCAACGTGGCTTCCTTCCGGTGCAGCTTTGTTTACCCTTCAGCTAGGGTGACAGGCTGCTCCCCTCTGACAGGAGGCTCCCTGCCCCCATTCCCCAAACAACCCCTCAATGGGCTGAACCCCCGTTTTAAAAATGGGATCCACAGACCTATGCTACAAGTGCCTTCATTCCCCGAGCTTGGCCAATATAGCCCGTTGCCCCACGCTGAATACAAGCCCTGCCCAGCTGCATACCTGGCTGCATTTTGCAAGGAGGGGAAAGGGCGGCACACGGGTTTGGGGCAAAGTTTCCTTGTTGTTAGAGCCCATGCAGTTCCAGGGCGACTGAGGCGGCGATATTAGCCGTTCCGTTTCCTGGGTTCATCAGTAGCCCCATGGACTGGAGGCTCTATTTGTGCAAATTGCTCTAGAGAAGCAAAATGCTCAGTTTGCCATAAAGCCAGCTAAGGGCTGTGTGATGCTCAGAGCGCTGAGCGAGGGCCGGCAGAACGCAGCATTTCATTCAGACTGAAGAGCTATTACTTGCAGCAACAGGCTTAGGCATCAGAACATAAAAACGGTCAGACCAAAGGTCCATCTAGGCCAGTGTCCTCTCTGCCAACAGTGACCAAGGACAGATACCCCAGAGGGAGGGAACACAACAGGGAATCAAGCAATCCCTCCCCTGTCACCCATTTCCAGCCTCTGACAAACAGAGGCTGGGGCCTCCATTCCTACCCATCCTGGCTAATAGCCACTGATGGACCTAGCCTCCATGAATCTATCTAGCTCTTTTCTGAACCCTGTAAAAGTCCTGGTCTTTACAGCATGCTCTGGCAAGAAGTTCTACAGGCTGACACTGCACTGCATGAAGGAAAACTTCCTTTGTTTGTTTCAAACCTGCTACCTATTGATTTCAATTGGTGACCCCTAGTTCTTATGGGAACAAAAATAGCTTTTCCTTATTCACTTTCTCCATACCAGTCATTATTTTATAGACTTTTATCATATCCCCTTAGCCTCCTCTTTTCTAAGATGAAGTCCCAGTCTTTTTAATCTCTCATCATGTCACGCATTCCAACCCCCTAATATTTTTCTTGGATTGAGAACTGGCTAAAAGACAGGAAACAAAGGGTAAGAATAAATGGTAAATTTTCAGATTGGAGAGGGGTAACTAGTGGTGTACCCCAAGGGTCAGTCCTGGGACCAATCCTTTTCAACTTATTCATAAAT